TCCCCACAATTGAAATAACATTTGTCTTTGGCTACGGAAAACAGAAAATATGTGTTCATTTCGACGAGTCAGAACTTGAGTAGTAAGCATTCGACCACCAGTAGAACTGTGAGGTATTGTTCTAAGAATCGAGTAAACCTAAAATCCCCCACCTGCATAACTTAAATGAAAGGAATTGAAATCCATTGGCATGAGTGTTATAGATTATATTCCACAAACAGCGAGCCTAACACATCACGGTACAGCAATCGTTTTAGAAAAGAAATCAGTCCATGATTTGTTCCTGGGCAGAATACAGCCAGGAAACCTAGACCAGCACAGGTGAATTTTCTTGAACGATTCACAACCGGAACCTTCGGCTGAGCAGCGCATGTTATATTGTATTGTAAAGGACCTATCCGATCGCACTAGGTGTTCAGGGATGATACAGTTCCCAGAATATGAGAGGCCATCATCTTACGATACGCATAAATAGTGTGGTAAGACTAGCAAACTACGGGAGAAACCTGTAATGTGAAGATGATGATGAAGATTTCTAAAGTCATGAGGATCACCGAAACATTGAGTTCCCCTTGTGGCCATCATCAACACCGAAAAAAGACAAACGTCGCAGGGTTGGCAAAATAGACAACGTAACTGAAAACCGACGTGTTCAGGCGTCCATCGGAAACGCCGGGTCATCTTTTGCAAAACAAGATGAAAAAGACAGACCTGTTACGTAATCGAAATGCTAAACTTTTGCCATTAGGAGAACGGTTACATCACCCGATTGTATGTGCATAAAAGTGATTGACACAATTAATTGCTACATATATGTCAGCTTGTTTTTATGTCAGTGGTCGAGGACATTAAACGAAAAGTTAAAATTTCGCGGCATTGGACTCTTTCAGTGCTTCTGTAGAGGGGACCGCTCAAAATTGACCAAATACACTTGAAAAAACACCGTTTTGCTTTATTGTTAGGTAGATATTTTATTACTTGACTGAGTGGATTATATGCATATTCCAGCCATATCTAATAGTTTGCTCTAATCACTCCCGTTTTGTATAATCACTTGGAACATAAACACCTGCACCGACGTCAGCTACGCTCCCATACGAGTCTCATCAGTGGGGAGAGTATGACAGCATTAAATCGGAGATGAAAGGTACGAGGAGCTTCATGACTTGGTTGGCTGTCAATTTATCCGATTATCACAACTACGCACATAGTTATCGAGTGTATTCATCATCATCATCCCGCAGCGAAGCGAACTTCACTGATCGCTGCCAAACTTGCAATCCATATGTATTGGGGTTTAATGGACGGGTACTGCTACGGTATCAAGCAACCAAGCAGGAGAACGATTAGGGTTCTCAATCAAAGCTCTGATGGGCTGCCCTCTTCGAAAAGGAATGCCCCAGAAGTACGTTAACCTACTGAGGTCATTGTACTCACATACCTCCGGTCGTGTAAGGGTCTACAACGAACCAAGTAGGCTGTTCGTCACCAGCAGCGGCGTTCGTCAAGGGT